TGTACAACAGGTCACAACATGGCAACTTGGTGAAAAGAAAAAGATCAAACCGAGTCCATGTAAACTGGAGAACGTCAAAACTAAAGCAATTCTCTCAGTAAGAGAAAGAAAAGATGGACGCAGCACAGAAGGGCAACCAGCTGGTGTGAAACACCAGCAATCCTCAAAGAACGTAGGGCCAGACACAGAAATGTCATCAGTCCGTTGTTGGGATCCAGAAAAATCACTAAACTACGGCTAATAAATGAGCTGTTGACGAATGCTAAGTGCTACATGCAGGGAGCTCACTCAGCTGCTAAAAGGTACAATTTTACCCTCTTTGCAAAAGACAAACATTTGATGATTTTTAGTACAGAATCTGGCATATTATACACGGTTTTAGATTAGAAATATTTCTTTTATGAAAATTCTGTTCATGTTTCAAACTTGAGACAAAGTGAAGGGCAACAAAAGGGTTACCAATGCCTCTAGTCAATTTTTAAACGTTAATGTGAAATGTTTTATTTCTGATCTGCTTTTGAACTTAAAGTTTTCATACAAAGTGATGTTTGAATTGTACTCCATTTTAAGCAATAATAAAAAAAAAAACTTAAGTTGTTTTCAAAAAGAAAATGCATGCTTTCACTCCTGTGCATTTAAAACCGAGTGTCAGAGAAATAAGAGGTAAACTAAAGATGAAAACTGCTGCAGAGGGTCACATCTGGACCGCGCTGGTCCGTGTGTTAACACAGGACCGGTTACTGGAGTCCATGCTTGGACAGTTTTCTGAGTAATTGTGACACTTCTGAATAAAACAGATTCAAAAATAGTCACAAGGCACCACAATTTGACGCGTCTGCCACCACCCAGAGGCAGCTGGTGGGGCTTGTTGCCCTTAAGATGGCAGTGATTTAGTAAAGTCATAGTTGGGCTGTAATTTGTGGGACTAAATTTAAAGAACAAAAATAACGTTTTGTGGGAACAAAACATCCCATTTTGACAGCAACGACAACCTCCTGAGGAGAATAATAAACTCTTAACACTCAGGCAAGAGCAAGCTGGTTGAAACTGCTCTGACTCAAAGATCATAAGACATTTCATGAATGTGTGGAAAAGGTCACAAGCACATTAGAGGCATTGAACCCTTCCAGTAAACACTGACTCAATGAAACGAAGCGAACCGTCAATCCAATCACAGACCTACTGGGAATGAGCGATTCTGAAAGCAGAGATACCAGAGTTCAATGGAGTGATCTGCTGTACACCAATTAGCAAACTAAAGAGAAGCGAGTGTGACCAAACAGCTGGACTGACTGAGAAACTTCACTGAATACTGAACTGCATGTGTATGTGGTCATTAGCCCAACTTTGAACCCAGGAAGCCCTCACAGACCCAACGTGATTGGTTTACTGCCAGTATTTCTTCAGTTATCATCTTGCTGTAGGAAAATGGTGGAATCAGAATTGAGGTTTAGGAATAAACGTTAAAGGTTTGTCCTGATGGAACCAGTTTGTCTTTATTATAGTCATGTTTCAACTCCAAATAGTATTTTATGGCACAAACAAAGCCATAGGAGGTTCAGAAAGGTTACAGTTATCACTTCACGACGATTCACAGAAAAATACATCTAGAAATGAAAAGGATACATGGTCTGAAAGAACAACTGGATCACACCGGGGTGACCTTTCTACACTAATGGCAATACAAAGTAAAAAAAAAAAAAAAAAAAAAAAATGACTTTATTTTAAAAACAAAAAATTAAAAGGAAAAAAAAATGGAAAAATTTTAACTTAAAAAA